GGATTATTTTCATTATTTGACTATTAGAAATAAAGCTACTGGGAACTTTCATGTACATATTTTTCTATGGACCTGTGCCTCTGTTTTACTGGATAAATACATAGGAGTGTAATGGCTGGAACTTTTCATAGTTATATACCTGACATTTTAAGTAACCATCAAACTGTTTTTGAGAGTAGTCATAGCAACCAACACTTGGTATGACCAGTCTTTTAACTTTAGGCCACTCTAATAGGCACGTAGCGGTATCCCCTGTGATTTTAACTTGCATCTCATTAGTGGCCCCTGCCATAAAGCATCTTTTTTGTGTGTTTGTGAAATGTCTCTTTAAATCATTTAGCTGAGTTTTTAAAATTGGAATATTTTCTCATTATTGAGTTTTGAAATTTCTTTGTTCTTTTTTTGAACTCGGGCTTCATGCTTGCAAAGCAGGTACTCTACCACTTAACACCTCATCTCCATGACAGCATTTTTTTTTTTTTGTAATGGGTTTTTTTGAGATAGGGTCTCGTGAACTTTTTTCTTGGGCTGGCCTCGAACCACGATCCTCCTGATCTCTCTCCTAAGTCACTAGGTTTATAGGCTCGAGTCACCAGTGACTGGCTCTGGTTTGTTTTTCAGTAAATTTTTATGGATTGATTCCTCATGTGTCTGGTTACTGAGCATCAACTATGGCTATTAATACAGTTCCTGCTGTATGAATTGTTGAGCCCTGGTAGCATATGACAGGTGGCAAAGGAAACAAGAACCCAGACAGGCGACCCATTAATCTACCATGAGAGCCTAAGATTCTACAAGAGTGGCATGAGAAGGGGACCCTGCAGGTCTCAAGGGAAATTTCCACAAAGTTAATTTAAGTGGATTTTTTTTTTTTTTGTGATACTGGGGCTTGAACTCAGGGCATCATGTTTGTGACGCAGGCCCTCTGAGCCACGCCCCCAAGTAGATTCCTCTTTTGAGATTCACCATTTTTGTTCTGCTATTAAGGTGTTTGTATTTGATGAAAGTGAAAAGTTGCCTTGGCGTAGAACTCTATATGTGTAGATTAGTTGCTGAGCTCTTACTCTTGATTTACCTAACTGAGAAGCACCAGGCAAAGCACCTTGGATCCTATGATGCTGGACAGACAAAATGCTGCTGTGGTCATTACTCATGGCTCTGGTATGATAACGAGTCTCTTCCCATCCTCGCATGTGGCTTTCTTGCTTATGTGCCAAGCTCTAGGGGAAATGACCCAGCTCCAGGGCTGCAGGCCCCCAGGGTCAGGGCTGCTGGCCCTTTGCTGCGGTGCAGACATTGAGGTTTTGTTACACAGGAATTCTACTGTCCCAGTGGGCTGGGCTCTTTGAGATAACAGATGTTTGTGGAGGGCCTCCTTTGTAGTCTCAGCTCTGTGCTGGGAAGGCAGGGTGGGGAATGATGCAAAAACTGTTAGACCCAGGAGAGATAGTGGCCTCCACGGAGACGCAAGAGAGAAGCTGTGCACATGAAAGCAGCTGCAGGTGATGTCACCTGCCAAAGGCCACCTGATCTGTGGGAAGAGTCTGTGCTTCATGTTCAGATCCTAGCTCTCCTGCCAGGTGACTTAGGGCAAGTTACTTAACTTATCTGAGCCCAGTTTTCCCTATCTGGAAAATAAGATTAGTTATCCCTGTTGTGAAGGACCATCATAAGGATTCAGTGAGGGGACATGCATTAAATGAGGTGACAGTAAATCGGCATGTAGTGGGGGCAAGTAAGTGACAGTAGTTGCCAGACTGGTAGTGTATTACATGTTACAATGTCTTCTTATGAGAGTGGGCAAGAAGCAGGGAAGTGGCTCAGACTGAGGCTGGGCATTTTCCTTTCCCATCAGTTTCCTTTGTTGTAATGCAGAGACGGCCCAGGAAAGCACGGTGTAGATGAGAACTTCTCTCTTTCCTATAGGCCAGCTCTCCAGCTCACGGCATTGGGGCTGCCGTCTTTCCTTTGGCTTTCTATTGCTAAAAGTTGATACTCTCACCCCCACCCTATCACCCATCGTTTCCAGATGCTCAGCTCTCAGTATTGGCATTTTCTGTACAATTCAAGAAACATTCAGGCTGGGCACTGGTGGCTCACACCACCTAGCTGCTTGAGAAACTGTGATCAGGAGGATTGCTGTTTGAGGCTAGCCCAGGCAAATAGTTCAAGAGACCCCCATCTCCAAAATAACCAGAGCAAAATGGACTGGAAATGTGTCTCAAGCAGTGGAGCACCTGAAGCCCTGAGTTCAAACCATAATCTCACCAAAAAGAAGAAACAGAATTTCAATTCCCTCCTTCCCAGGCAGCAGGCAGCACCAGTCTGGCCTACCCCATGAGGATGCCTGCTGTTGGAACAGTAGAGCCTTCCTTGGAGTTGCTGTGGGGACTCAGTGACTAGGGAAAGAGTATAACTGTCTAGAAGGACTGAAAATTTCTCAGCCTGCTGGTGACTTCATATGAGCACCTCTCACAAACTAGTCATCTCCCCCATTTTATAGATGAGGAGGTGCAGGCACCAAGAAGTCAGCCTCTTACCCTCTGCCCTCTACTATGTCTCCTGATAGAACTTCCTGGGCCTGGGGGCCGCTGAGGTGGCTAGAGGCTGTCCTGGCAAGTCTGGTGGCCTTCTGAAATGTTTACTTTGAGAATGAGCTTCTAGGTGGGTATTGAGATCTGAAGTGCATTGATTTCCTGGAGGACTGGAAGAGCCCCAGTCCTGATGGCCGAGGGCTTGGAGAATGATAACAGCACACTGCACCACAGCCGAGGGCATGGTGCTGCTTCTGTTCTCAAGAATGTCCCTCTGGCTAATATCTTACATTCAAGTTCTCCTTTAGCCATCAGGGCATGCATTTTTCCAAGTTCAAGTCAACATGCCCTTGAGAGTTTGCAGTTTATGAGAAGAAAACTCTTTCCCAATAAAGGAAAATATGCAGGTAGGGACCACATGTTAAATGGCCCTTGCATTCCTCCTGTCAGTTGTGAATCCTCTCCTGGGCTGATTCTTTTCAAGGACTCTGATGCTGGCCCAGGTGAGCATGACCAAAGCAGAGCATCTTTCCTGGTCTGGGCTTTTGAGGATTATTACAAGAACCAGGAAGTTCACAGGAGATGCAAGCCAGCTACTGATGGTGGGCATGCAGGCAGCTACTCTATTGTCAGGGCTGGGTGGTGGGTGGGTGTGCAGGCATCCTAGGTAAGCCCCAGTCATAGCCAGTTTATTCCACTGGCTGTGGCACTGGGTACTGGGGTGCTGTTTGGGACAGTAGCTTTGGCTTTGTGGCATATAGGTAGTTGGCAGGCTTCCCCCCCACCCCGCCCCAGTATTGGGGTTTGAACTCAGCCTTGGGCTTGCTAGGTAAGCACTCTACCACTTGAGCTATGCCTTCTGTACTTTTTGCCTTAATTTTTTGGATAGGGTCTCTCACTTTTTGCCCAGGCCCAACCTTGGACTGCAATCCTATGTGCACATCCTGTGTAGCTGGGGTGATAGGTGTGTACCATCATGCACTGCTTGTTTGTTGAGATGGGAGTCTCACTAACTTTTGGACTGGCCTTGAACTGTAGTCCTCCCAATATCTACCTCCTGAATAGCTGGAATTACAGGTGTGAGCGTCTGTGCCTAGCCTAGGTGGCAGGCTTTGAGCCCAGTAACATCCTGGATTTGGGAAAGGAGGAGTGATGAGTGCATGTGGGAGACAAGAGAAGTACAAATACATGGGTAGATAGTGGACCCTATAGGCAGGCCAGCATTGATTCATCTACTCATGTGTCTTGACCCTTGCCCTGGAGGTAGGGTGGCTGGAGGAACAGGGCAGGGATGGGCCAGGTCCAGATAGGCAGGACACAGAGGAGCTCCTGATTAGGAGTGGGAGATGGGGAGGCAAGGGAGGACCAGATGCCTGGACCAAGAGAGGAAGGGTGGGTGAGGGCCTCCCTATAGAGAGGGCTTTGTTGATCTGGATGTGAGGGTGCAGAGAAGGAGAGGAGCCATGGAAGGAGGCAGGCTGGATCAGAGTGCCTTGTCAAGGGGCTTGGATTTTCTCCCAAAATACTGGCAAAGATGAGGTGTGATGTGGTAATGTTTGAAATGTGCATTAATAAGATAGTGGTTTAGAACCAAAGCCCCAAAAGAGTTGGGAGATAGGCTATATTTTGCCAGTCACTGAGGCTTTGGGGCTGGCTGAATGTGGGGCATCACTGAGAATAGCAGTCCTGCAGAGAACAATTCACAGAGGAGCTGCATGCTCCCAAACCAGAAGTGGACCATCTGTTGGCCTGCCCTTGGGCACTGTGGCTCTAGGCGTCCCACCTAATGAACACATGCATGTGCTTCCTGGGTCAGAAGACTTCATCTATTTACAGAGCCAGAAATCCAACTGTCATGATTTCAGGGGCTGAAGGACCTTAGACAGAAATACCAAACATCTCACTTTCTTGGAGTCATGTTGGAAACAGACCAATAGTGCCTGTCTTATTCATTCTGTCTCCTTTGAGCCATCTTGCCAGGACATTCACACCAAAATCTTTGTTTTCTCAGGAGATCTGGGTTAGGGTGGGGCTAGAAAATCCCTCCAATCTCGGGTTCTGGGCCACAGAAGTTAGGCCTTTACGAGGCTTTAGTAAAGCATGGGACACCCTATGTTTGGGTAGGGAACTGGAGTGGGACTGACTGAAGGTGACTTCAGAGCCAGGTAGTCTTCGGTGTCCCCAACCCCATAAGGATGGGTCAGCCTACCTGAGGGCCTCTGAGGGCATTCACAAGTTCTTTCCAGCCTAGACTGCCAGACATTCTGATTCCACTCCTCACTGTGGTCTCTGCTCTGAAAGATGGGTACATGGATCTGGATATGGGAACCTCTTCATACTGCCATTTCTTACCAACACTTGGAAGTCATTTTCTCAAGTTTACTGGTAGTTTTCTAGGTAGTCCATTAAAGGGGATATCTTCTTAGCATTTCCTCAAGTACTGAACAGACATTTCTCTGTCTTTAGCCAGAAGTGGATTTGCCTGTTCCTTCAGGCAGAGGCAAGAGTCTGGAGTCCATGCAGAGCCAGCCCCAAGAGCCTGTCAGCATGCCCCAGACGCTGACCAGCACACTGGAGCACATCGTGGGCCAGCTGGACGTCCTCACTCAGGTAAGGCATGATGATTGATTGTACTTGGTCTGGCATTTGGACCATTTAAAGTTGATCAGCAGGTGCTGGGTTATCTTATTTTTATTTTTATTATAGGGCCAGAATCTCACTGTGTAGTCCAGGCTAGTCTCGAACTCATGATCCTCCTGCCTCAGCCTCCTGAGTGCAGTGTGGTGGTAGGCATAAACCACCACACCTGGCAGGTACTAGGTTTTAAAAAAAAAAAAAAAAACAAACATAGTTATAATAGACCTGTTTTTCAGCCCTAATTAATGAAATAGCAGTGCCTGCCCTGGGATCCTGGCTCTTAGAGCCATCTAAGCCCTGGCAAGCCACTGGACTCCTAAATCACCAATTCAGCGTGCTGCCAGGGTGTGCCTACCCAGATATGGCCTGAGTCACAACAGAGCTTTCAAAGAAACACTGTCCCTACATCCCACTCATGGCTGAGTGGGCCCTCTAGGGACATGCAGGTGAGCAATGAATTGAAAGCCCAGGCTCTGGGTTCGAGCCTGGCACTGTTCCTTCAAGTAACTTTGGAGAAATCCCTTCAGTTCTCCAAACCCTGGTACATTTAGCTGTAATATTCAGATGGTCCTGGGCTCTGCCTCCCACATTTTTGGTGAAGATTGTGGGCAAAGTGTTTGGCCCATGCCTGGTTCTGGGTAGCTGCTCAATAAATGTTCTCTGTGGCCCTTAATATGACCCTGATTAGCAAGACAGATATGGGCCCCTCTCTCTGGAGCTTACATTGGCAACTTACAGATGGCAGCCAGCACTGGGTACATGCCCAGGAAGGCATCTCACTTATGGGATACAAAGTGGCCCTGGCAAAATGAGCAGATCTGGAGGGGCCAGTGGACACATCCAGGGACTGAGCAAAGCCCAGGATGGCTGACATGTGACATGAAATAGGACAAGGGGCAAGACAAAATTTAAAAATTTTCCAACCACCTTGGCTCGTGATGCCAGGCAGGGACTCCACAGATCCCCTTCTCCCATGCCAGCTTATGGTTAGAGTAAGGCTGTGGGAGGAACATGTGGCTGACTAGGAAAAGAAAGAGTTGCAAAAGCGGTGTGTGTGTATGTGTGTGGTCCCCAGTTCAACCCAAAGGAGGTTGCAAAGAACCCTTGATGTCTCTAACAGAAATGCAGCTAAAGTAGCATAGTGTCCTTTCCCCATCTCTGGATCTTGGGCGAGGTGAGAAAAGCTCTTCCATACCATGTCACATAGGAGTGTCACAGTATCCCAGCTAAGACTGCACAGACGGAAGCACACAAGGGAGAGGCCAGGTGTTGGAGGACTCCAGGATAAGGTGTAGAGACATTTTGGAAAGCCTGTTAACTCTTAAGAAGAAGGCCTGTACCAAGAGAAAGATCTGAGCAATGTGCAGAGACTTTAAAAAAATCACTTCAAACCCATCAGAGACTGTATAATGTTCTTCACAACCTTGTCAAGTGAGAGATCAGGGGAGGTGGAATCAATTAGGTCTTTATAGGATAAAATTGGAAATGAAGTCTGAGAAGATGGTTAAAAATAGCTTCACTGGATCCAGAGTAGTATAACACTAAAAACATTTCCTGTCACTGTTTTAGGGGTGCACATGAAGGTTTTGTTAAGTGTTAGCAGTTAGGAATATGGTAGTAACTGTGCAAGAAACTTGCATCACCATTTAAGTGAAGGGTGTCCTGTAGCCCGTGACTGGGTGTCTGGACATTCCTGTGGCACCCTTGTCCTACCTCACACCATTCAACCCCTTTAGAAATCTGTATAGCAATCTACCCTCTACCAGATGTCAACCATATGAACCTGTCAGTCACCTGCTTTGCAAAACTGACCATGGCTATGTGTTCCTGGGTGCCACCAAGTGAGAAGTGTTCCTGATGGACTCAGTGTGTCCTGAGGATATGTTGATTCCACAGACGAAGCCCCAGGTGAAGGCTTAAGGCTCAACCCACTTTTGTACAATTGCATTTGGATTAATCCAACCATGCTCTTCTGGGGTTCTACTGTCATTTGTTTTCCAGGCCCACCTTTCTCTCCTGGCCTTGGGACTGTAGCTGAGACATCCTAACCACAGCCAGTACTGTTGCCACCAGGGGTTTTAGGTTTCCCTATCCCTTCCTTTTGGGATCAGCTCAACAGAGGGCAAGCCCACAGTAGGCCCTTTTTTGGATGGTCCAGCCCGCTCCTGAAGCCTAGAACCAGGTGACTACCGCTGTCCTTCCCCAGTGGCTCATTCAGCTGGGCTCCATACTTGGTCTATGAGTGCTGGCCTCAGGGGCCACCCCCTCAGCAGGTACTCCTTACCATATGCTAGGTCCTGAAGTGCATCTGTGTTCTAGAAGGTAGGAAGTCATAGTCACCCCAACACTGACTCCTTCAAAGACATCCGTGTGGGGTCGGAGACATGGCTCAAGTGGTAGAGTGCCTGCCCAGCAAGTGGGAGACCCTGAGTTCAAACCCCAGTACCACCACCATCAAAAAAACAAGGTGTCAGTGTGAATCACACTATTCTGCTCTGACCTGCCCCTGCCTTACTGCCCCTTCCTCCCCTCCAAGGAAGTCTACTTAATAGTGGCTTCCTAGAGGAAAACAGTTCCTCACACCTCCATCCTGCAGAACACCTTTCCAGGGAAAACCGTGGAGACTGCAGTGGGCAGTGGCAAAGGGTGTTTACCTTATGAATCACAGAGCCTCCAGCCCCTTAGGTGACTTGAGCAGGATACCCCATTATGGAGGTTTCTAGTCCTTCCTACTCAACAGGCTGGGGTGGCCCAGTGTGGCAAGGCCGCCCCTGTGGGTGTTTGTGGTCCATTTGGCACCACCACGAGAGCCTGAGTCCGTACTCCATCTTAGTCATCTCCAGCAGCACCTCTGCAAAGCAAAGGCCTGAGACCATGAAACTGGGAGAACTTATGGGGAGGACTGAGGAAAAGTGAGCAGTTCTGGCTTCACTTCAGCCTAGCTTGATGACCTTGGGCAAGATACTAAGCCTCTCTGTGCCTCATTTTCCAAATCTGGAATATTCCTCAGGCTTCTGAGAGAATTAAATGTGTTTACTTGTGGAGCAAGTCACCCAGTGCTCAGCAATGCCATGTACTGCTGACATGTTAGGTGCTCTTGCTATTGCCATTTTCACTATCCAAGACTTGGTGGTGGTATGGGCGTTTTTGTGACAGCATCAGAAGTACTTGCTCCCAATTTCCCACTGCCTAGTGAAGCTAGACCCTTTCCTGCCCAAAAGACTCTGACCTGCTCTCAGAGTCCATGTGATGGGTTCCCTCTGTGTATGCACATTCATGGAGCCCATTCTGTGTATGGCTCCATGTGAAACCCAGTCCCACCTTCAGGAACTTTCCAGGACTGAATCTGCTGGTGACAGAGCCAGGTCTCGCATTGGGAGCAGGTAACTGGACCACTGGAGACAGCTGGGAACATGTACAGGAGGAGCCCAGCATGCCAGATAAAGGCTATGAGTCCTCTTGTGTGAGGTGACAGAAGCAGGTGCCTGGGACTTTGAGCTTCATGTGTGGAACTTTGAGCAGAGCAGTAGGAGTCTGACCCAAGCAGAGGCTCTGGAGTGGAGTGGAGATAGGGGCACAGAGAGGTCAAGACTTGGGTGAATGACAGAGTTATCATGGGCTTACCCCTGAGAAGTGATGTCTGCAAAATCTTGGAGACAAGTTTCTCTGAAGGCAGGAGAGTAGGAAATGGCTGGTGAGATGAGCAGGACTGTGCTGGTGCCTGCCAAGCAAGCAAGGAATCAGGGCAGCTTCCCCAGGTCCTCCCAGACCACTATACCTCTCAGATCAGCAGGAAGTTCAACTGCCCTTGGGTCTTTAGTGCCATCAGAAACCCAGTCCTTTAACTTCTGAATTGGGTTCATACTCTTTTACTTGTTTTTAGAAATAGCCTTTTTTTTTTCTTTTTGAGATGGGGGTCTCACTATGTAGTCCAGGCTGGCCTTGATTTCACAGTCTTACCTCAGCTTCTCAAGTGCTGGGATTACAGGCATGAACCACCATGCCCAGCTTAGAAATACCGTTTTTTTTTCTTTTATTGTTTTATTATTCATATGTGCATACAAGGCTTGGGTCATTTCTCCCCCCTGCCCCCACCCCCTCCCTTACCACCCACTCTGCCCCCTCCCTCTCCCCCCTACCCTCTCAGTACCCAGAAGAAACTATTTTGCCCTTATCTCTAATTTTGTTGAAGAGAGAGTATAAGCAATAATAGGAAGGAACAAGTGTTTTTGCTGGTTGAGATAAGGATAGCTATAAAGGGAGTTGACACATTAATTTCCTGTGCATGTGTGTTACCTTCTAGGTTAATTCTTTTTGATCTAACCTTTTCTCTAGTTCCTGGTCCCCTTTTCCTATGGGCCTCAGTTGCTTTTAAGGTATCTGCTTTAGTTTCTCTGCATTAAGGGCAACAAATGCTAGGTAGTTTTTTAGGTGTCTTACCTATATTCACTCCTCCTTTGTGTGCTCTCGCTTTTATTCATGTGTTCAAAGTCCAATCACCTTGTTGTGTTTGCCCTTGATCTAATGTCCGCATATGAGGGAGAACATACGATTTTTGGTCTTTTGGGCCAGGCTAACCTCACTCAGAATGATGTTCTCCAATTCCATCCATTTACTTGTGAATGATAGGATTTCATTCTTCTTCATGGCTGCATAAAATTCCATTGTGTATAGATACCACATTTTCTTAATCCATTCGTCAGTGGTGGGGCATCTTGGCTGTTTCCATAACTTGGCTATTGTGAATAGTGCCGCAATAAACATGGGTGTGCAGGTGCCTCTGGAGTAACCTGTGTCACAGTCTTTTGGGTATATCCCCAAGAGTGGTATGCTGGATCAAATGGTAGATCAATGTTTAGCTTTTTAAGTAGCCTCCAAATTTTTTTCCAGAGTGGTTGTACTAGTTTACATTCCCACCAACAGTGTATGAGAGTTCCTTTTTCACCACATCCTCGCCAACACCTGTTGTTGGT